CATAGTTCAGGTTGGAAGGGATGTCTGTAAGTCAGACCTAACTTCGGGGTTCGGACAGGTTGCTTGGGCCTTGTCCAGTCCTGTTCTGGGTGGAGATCTCCAAGCCTGAAGACCTCCCAGCATGCCTGGGTGCCTCATCTGGTGTTCAGTGACCCTCACAGCAGAATGTTTTCCTTGTACCTAACAGGAGGCTTCCCTTCTGCAACCTGTGGCTGTTGCCTCTTATCCTTTCTGTATTTACCTCTGCTGACTCTCACCCACCTGGCAGGAAGTCGAAGAGCACCTGCATCTTCTTTTGTTCAGGCTGAACAAAGGGGCAGCTGCCTCTGTTCTCTTCGGGTGCTCCCCGTGGCCATACCACTTTTCACTCCTGTTGTACCAGGACATCCAACACAGAATTGTAGAATCACAGAGTAGTTTGGGTTGGGAGGGACTTTTAAAGGTCATCTAGCCCAAGCTCAACACCAGATGTAGTGCTCCAGATGCTGACTCACAATTATCCCACATGAGAAGATCCCCTACCTCAGCCTCCTGGACACCCTACATGACCACTGGCCCTCATCCCAACCACGTGCTGTTGAATTGACACTCAATGTGCTGCCCACTGGAGTCCAGGCCCTCTTGCCACAAGGACTATACCCTCGCCTGTCCCTCATAAAACACGTTGTACTTGTCTTTTTCTATCAGTCACGAGCTCTGCTGATGGTTGATACCTCTAACAAATATTCATCCAGACAGTTAATGATTCCAAGAGCTAAACCACAACTGACAGGCCACATGCAATCTAAGACAAAAGCGCCTTGTCACTCAGCAGATCTAAGGTCATGCCGCTGCCACTCACGATTTCCTTTTGTTGTCATGTTTTTGTCACTCTTTCCCTGTCCCCAGACATGTCTGGTATTTCACCAAAGGTGTTTTCTCACACTGAGCATTTCTCAGTAGCCAGTCAGTGTTTGCAATGCCAATGGGTGGTGGACTTGGAGATGGGGAGCATGAAGAAAGCAAGTGACTAGCACTGAATGGCAAAGCTCTTGATTTACCATGGATGGGTTATCAGGTTTTATTAATTGTGTTTGCTAATGATGTATGTTAAGACTGTTGAAGCCTTCAAATTAAATCTTGTTTTTAAACAAGTTTTTAAACTTGAATTAAACAGCTTTTGAGAGATCTAGATTCTAAAAAGGACTCTGAAAAACATATTAATACAAGACAAAAAGTGCTCAGGATTGTAAAAGAGAATGCGACAGAACTATTTTGAACTTTGTGTTGTCTCTCCCATGAATATTTTCAGTCTCATCTCCTTACTGGAAAATGTTACACTCATTTGACTTCCAAGTACTTTATTTTAAAACACTTCTTTTTAAATTTAAACACCACACACAGAGTCTGAGGATGATTCGGCATACACAGTTGTATTTTATTTTTAGTATCATGACAGATAACAGGGATTCTGAATAGCTTTTCCTCATCATCTATAATGTTTTTCTTGTAGTGAGGCTGCATAACACAGTAAAAGAATGTTCCCTTTTTGGGAAAGTATTCTATGTCTTATGAAATATTTTTGCATAATAACATGGGTATAGATTAATTTCAACAGGTACATCTGTAAGTATCATCAGTTCTAATTCTAAATAGTGAATATAAAGTTCCAAGAAATCGATGCATATATCCTGCCTGAAAATTATCTAGAATATTTTTATTGTGGTCCTGAATTGTAATTTGGCAGTATATACATGTACTTGACTTTTTTTTTAACTATTTAATAAGATGTTTACATTGCTGGTACTGATTACGAAAACCCTAGTTTTTTGCTCATTTATGGGTACATAATAAAGGAAAAGTACAAAGTGGATCAAAATATTGAAAATACCATGGTGATCTTTTTGAGAACTGGATCAAATTGTGTTGACAGGGACTAAACCACATTACAGTCTTATCCCTGTTAAATGCCTACAGAATAAAAGAAGTCTGTAGCAGAGTGGACCAGAGCCAATGATTCCATCTCACAGTATATTTCAAGATAATTAAATTAGTTCTTTTTCTTCTTTACAAAAGAAGCCCATGCAGATCTTTTCACAGAAAGTAGTTGCGTCTTGACATTCTTTCTTTAAAATATCCAAATGGATAGGGCTTGCATTTAAATCTCTCTTTAGTCAGAAGTCTACTTTAGGTATCTGAAGCCTTCTCATCAAACCCCAGGGTGTATACAGAAATTAAATAGAACAATTACATTGAAGAAAATGCAAAAACATTCTAATTTTAAATTTTAGATTCAGTGGCTTAGCCCACCAGACTTGCAGATCTTGAGGTTGCCAGGGAAGAGCTGGAGCTGAGCAAGGCCTGATTTGACAACCACTGAAAATAATGAAAAGAAACCTTGTAATTCAGATTCCATGGAATTCTAAGTGTTTTATCTCAAAAAAGAAAGAAGTAGGACCAGAAAAGACTGCAGGGAAGAGCAACAGGGATAATCACAGCCACTGGATGCTTTAATTAAAAGCAACAGCTAAATAGGCTAGGGAGTCCTACCTGGAGAAGACGCAAAGCCTTTGGGTTTGATAGATGGAGAAAAAGCCACACTGTATGATGGCAAGTTAACTACCACACTGAATGGGCAATACAGGAGGATGCTTTATGAAGTATCAGTTTAATCAAGATGAACATAATGCAACCTGTCATGGTTGTGGTGCACTTAAAATATTCTCTAACCCGCTATGGCAATGCAAAATGTCATAGTGACCTGCGATTAGCACTCAACTGGATGAACTTTTATGGGCAGGGAGGCTTGTTTCTTTCAAGACTCCAATTTTCCCTACCAGCATTTTTCAAAGTACATTAAAAATATTTTACTTTAATATCTGAGAGACTGGGAAGAATTGGTCCTTTCTGCCTGATAGAAGCAATTTGACAAAAAGTGGTTAATCAGTTTGAGAGGATAAGCAGGCAATCTGTAGCAGCAATCACAATGTTTTTGACCTAAGTCCCAATGTGTCTACTCCTGAAATCCTCTACTTGAAGTCATTACTCATGTTACACATAAAAAAATTTCATGGTCATTAGGAAGACAGCACATGCTGTACATCATCTGCTGCCTGATGGAGGGTAAAATCTCTTTGTTGCTGAACAGGTTTAAGCAAACATGCCACAGCCAGCTGGTAGACCCCTGTGTGCAGAAGCCTGATGCATCAACTCCATAAAACCTCTGAACAGAGCTAGGTAAAATTGGGCCAGATGGGAATACCTCCATTAACCCATACTCATTAACAACATGATACTTACACTGCAGTTCTCTCTGCCAGCTGGCCTTTTAATTTAGGAGTGTGTTTTCTACCAGACATCCAGATCAAATAATAGAAGATGTGTAGCACTTCCGCTAGAATGCCATGAGGACATGAATTGAAAAAACACATAAAGGAAACAGATACTCAGAAGCCAAAAAGTAACAGCCTCACCGAGGTGTCCAAGCTGGGTATCTGATAGTGGCTTGGATATCTGGGTGGAAAAGGATTTAAAGTGAGATACCAAGAGAGTTTCCTGCATTGGATTTGCTCCTTTTGTCCCAGCAATGACCTTCCCTATGACATTGAAGCATCTTCTGTCAAAGCCAGATGGAGGAAGTCTGAGGCACTGACACTGTCAACATTTTGCCTTTTCACAGAACATTTTCATACAAGGAATGAATACTAGTGTATCAAGGTTAAAGGGTTAGGAGGAAGAGGCACAGGGCTAAACAAAATACCTGGGATCAGTGGCACAGCTAAGGTCTAACAGTAGCTGCAAGACATCACTCTCAAGTAGCACTTCATCAGTTGAAAGTAAAATGTATCTTCAAGGACTTGGAGGTTTGACCTGGATTCTCCACCTTCCCAGGTGGTATTGCCAATGTGCAAATGTGCTTGCACACAAGCAAGCACCCCCAGTGAGATCCTGCACAGAAGCTTCTGCTCACAGAGAGCTCACCTGGCAGAAATCCTCAGAGGCAGCAAGTTCTCATTTTCTGAGCCCCCGCTGACATCTGTCCCTTCTTGCAACAGGAAAAAATCTAGGGAGTGACCTAGATGGAGATGGTATATTCTGAAAACTAAGAAATATTAAGTGAGACAAACGAGCAACTCTCATTTACTCATTGTGTAGGAACACGACAGGTTCAAATGGTAGGTTTTGGAAAAAGAACCATCGTGACTAAAAGAATGGGAGCTTCCGTCTTCCGCTTTTCCCTTAGCAGAGACCATATTTGCTATGGATAATTCTTGTAGTAAAATGAAGAGAGAGATGTTTGGTTTTTTTGGATCTACCAGGCTAAGGAACCCTACTCCAGCTGTCCCCAGAATGGTGAGGACCATTTCACCCTATATCCTCCACTGATTTTAAAGGGACCTGGGGCACAGAGGTTTAAAGTCAGAGAGGAAATTTTCATAATCTGAAAAGGAACACAGTGTCAAGCTCCAACTATCTTGAAGAGGCTTGTGCACAGAAAATCTGCACTTGGAAAATTCAGCTTGAAATCTAAAGACATCCAGGCTAGGTCCATCAGATGTTCAGATACCAGAACTATCATTTGCTTTAGAAAATGTACTCAAGGACTCTTACATGGGTTTCAGACTGAGCACTAGAACATTCCAGTCCAAGCAAATGGGATTCAGGTATGCTGACTGAAGTACAGAATGGGAACCTCTCTTACAAAATACCTGTGTTTCCTTGGGATTTCTATGTGCACCCAAAATTGTTGTTCTGGGAAGGGAAAAAGGTACAGATTCAGGCCCAGGTTAATTCTCAGACTAACACTAGGTAAACTTGTGTCACTGAGTAAACTACAAAAGAAAAGGAATTGAGTAAGCAGAATAACCAGAAATATCAGATGAGGGCAACGGATGCAAATCTCAACATGACAATAGACTACACAGACAAGGTAAAGAGGAAGAGGAAATTACTTTGATTGTTTGAACATGCTGAGTTTGAGAGCGGGGAAAAGAGAAGAAAAAGAAGCCCCACAAATACTATTTTCATTTCTTAAAATGGAGATATTTATTTGTTAAGGTAATTAAATCCAAATAATAAATAACATAATAGTTATCTTTGAAAAGTTCCATCAAAATTAAATGAAACAATGAGCCTGTCCCTTCTGATCATGCTCATTAAGACTCTGCAGCTATGAAAAAAGGCATGGGTTACTATAAAATCGTTATTTGTTTCCATCCACTTGCACAAACATTATAAATAAGACTTTCCTTATAAAAATCACATGATATGATTGTGGCATATTTTGTAAAATGTGACTAGAAAAAGACGAGATAATGTTAATAAATAATACATTCAATAACAAAGCAATTTTTGCTATTGAGAGACATCTAGACATTTTGGGGTACAGTCACCATGAAACCACCTGAAAAGGAGACATTCTTCAAAGGAGCACTACACACTACTTGAAAATGAACAAATTCTACTGACATAAGAGAAAATACATTATTGCAGGGCAAAGAAAGATGAACCCTTAGACCTTGTAACAGTGTTAGCCAACAGCAAACATTTGCTACATTGGAGAGTGAATTAGATCGAAGCCCTAATCACAAGACTCTGAACAACAACACACTTTGTGATGTTTTACACACTCCACACAAGTACCTTTGCCCCTGAGCGTGCCAAAATAATGATGATTCAAGATGTTCACCCAAGTGCTCGTGTCATTTTGACACAACATCCAGCCTGTAAAGCTTACACACATCATAAATGGTACAATAAATATTACATGCCAGTCACTGGAGGTAAGACAAATCCATGGAATCACGCAACCTCAGAGGCATAATGATTTTCTTATCTACTTCAAAATCACCTCAAGACATCGAACTACCACATGACCATCACATTTTTCAATAAACTGGGCAAGAGAAGAAGGAGCACAAATGAAAGTACTAGAATTCACCAGCTAACACTGACATCCCACATCACATTGCTCCTTTGGAAATACTGTGTGAGAGAGCAAAAATGGCAATTATGCCCAGTTCCTAAAGATACAGGAGACATCTTGCACCTGTCCTACTTGGGCTTTGTATATCAGCATTACTGTAAACCACAGACTGATCCCAAGTCAGCTTGTTTTATCCAAACACTGAGCTCCTTCCAAACATAGGTTTATGGTTTGGTATCACCATTGATTCTTGAGCACTGCACCAGGAGGAAGGCTTGTCCCCTCTCATAGCCAGCTTGGAGACAGGGTCAGCTACAAAGCAGGAGGCCTGAGATGTACAGATGGCATGACAGGGAAGGTGAGAGCAGGGACCTTGCAACTACAGGTAGAGGCAAGCAGAAGCTTTAAAGCAATGCTTCCTGGGCTGCTTGCCTTCAAATCACCTACTTTGTTCCCAAAGCAAAACACCAGGGAGTTGGGATAATCCCAGAGATGAACCAGCTGTGGGTTCCCTGGTCACCTACGGCTGGGCAGATATTCTGGATGCCTGCAGCTCCAACAATGAATGCTGGTCCCTCCTGAAATCACTGACCTCTCATAAATACCTCAATGAGGTACAAGTAAAATTACTAATTTCGAAAAATCTTTGCCTGGTCCATTTCTGTTCCACTCAAGCACAAAACTTCCTCAAGTTGAGACTGTGCCTGCAAGAAGTGGAAGGGAGCTCATGGCGTTTTAGTTTGCACTTCAGCTTCCAGCCATAAGCAAGCAGCAAACTGTACCAAAGCACAGTCACCTATCTCCTGGCACAGGAACAGACCATTGGATTCTGTGGGCAGCAAACATATGGCATGGCATCATCAGTGAGCCTGACTGATCTCCCAGCCAGTGCTGCCCAGTGAGCCCATGCCTGGGAAGAAGTCTGATCTGCTGGAAATGCAAATAGATTTTCTCTTACAGTGCTGGAAAGAAGTATATTTAACTTTAGGAAGAGAGCAGTTTGTGTGTTACCATCCTTATGGTAAAGCTCATGTTACCAAAATCTGAGTCTGGTTTTGAAAAGGGAAATAGTTGAAAGAGGATGTGGTTCACTGCAAAACCTGCTAGAAATATCTTCTTTCCATTTCTTTTCTCTTTTCAGTATTTTTACACTACAGAGCTCATACTAATAATCCATGTCATGGATACAACATTCAAATAAAAACACATGCAGGCTTTTACATTCATCATCATCCACATGCTACACTTCACAGTTCATTATCAGAGCAATGTACCACTCTATAAAAACATCACATCGAAGCACCATAAATCTCCTTCATGTCTTTGTTTGTTTTCTTTTCTCTTGAACTTTCAGAAATAGCCAGATGGAACCAGCACTAACACAGGCTAAAGCCAGGTGTCCAGTATGAGTAAGAAACAGAAAGGCAGAATTGCCGCGTCACCTTGAACTTGCCAAAATTGGAGAAGATGAAAATGACTCTACAATATTTCAGTTGGTAACTTAGATACATAATTGTCCTTCAACACACCATATAAAAACAATAATCTAGGTCTCTAAGTAAAAATAGAAGACATTTCTATCCTATGCTCAGGGTGAAATATCAGAATTTACAGCAAACTGCACATTCAAACTTCTAGCTCTTGACCTGGAAGTGGCTAAAGCGTGGCACAAAAATGCTTTGCACTGTGTTCCCTTCCACAACAAAGGAAAAAGAGCCTTGTTGCTATTTGATTGCTATAGCTGTTGCACTTGGAAGTTTCTTCTCCTTTCAAGAGCGCCCAGACACTTGCTGGCTTATCCCTCAGCTGATGTCTTGGCTTTGCTGTGGTACCAGGAGGCTGCAACATGGAGCTCCCAGCACACAGCTCTGGTGCTGAGCTGCTCTGGACCAAGAAAGGCAGGGCAGGGGATGACATACCCATGCTTGATGCATTTCCAGCTAGGAGACTACTTCTCAGATTGAAAACTCCTTCCCAGTAGGGTCAGCAAGGCTGGCTGTGTCTGAGCACCAGGCACCCCTTGCCACATCCCGGGGAGGGAGCAGGCAGCAGGAAGCAGAGGGCAGTGGCTGCTGCTCAGCCCCCACCAAGCGAGGGTCGGGGCTCGTATCCCCTTCTGCTGCCCCGCTGGATCTCCTCTTGTCTGGACTGTGAATAAGCCCAAGGACTACCCCAAACCCCCGTGCCAGCCTGGCCCCACAGCTCAGCATGAGATACAGCCCCAGAGCAGCTCCCAAAGCCCCAAGAGGTTCAGGAGCCAGAGGCTGCCCTCTGCCCCCAGCACAGGTACTCAGCACAAGCAAGATGAGATCCAGGCAGTGGTTTTTCATGCCTTGCTTTCTCATCCAAACAGTTCTCCCTCAAGAAGAGTATAAACCCTACTTCATTTAAAATGCAACTATTAGTAAACTCTCCAGTGGAACAGAACCTTTAATTAAAATCCAATTCCTGTACATGACACATAGTAATAATTTAGGTATTGGATGAGAACTTGAGAGGTATTCACTGAGATGCAAATAAAAGAAAAAATAAAAAACTGTAAGGTCAAAACTTACATGTACCAAAACCAACAGGACAACTGGACTGATACTGATTCGATTTGTTCATGTCCTTGTAACTTCCATTACACATAAAATGAAAATGAAAAACATTTTTATCACTATGGTAGTTACAGGCCATTACTAAAAGGTTTTATTAAAGACCTCTTGTTTTTCACTGGGTTTGAAAGCAATTTTGAAAATTAATTTCTATTTTATTGATGCCTCATTGATTATGAGTGCACTAAGACATTCCAAAGACTCAAGACTTGACTGTAAGCAATTTAGGCTGAAACCCAAAGACACTTACAGCCAGACTGGGTTTTAAGAAAGCCAGAAAATTTTTCAGTTCTGGAAGACTTTTAAGGGTTAAAAAGAAGATAATTTGTTGAGATATCATTGAAAAGAAGATACTATGCATAACACAGGAAAAAAGCATAAGACCAACGTTTTTAAGAAAACCAACATCTGATAGATATAAATTGTCATTAAAAAAAAAAAGAGAATAAAGAAAGATTTCTTCCCTGCAAACACTATCAGAAAAGAAGAATTGCAGTCGAAAAGCAGAGGGAAAAGATCATACCATTCCATCAATAAAGTCTAACAAAATTATTTGACAATGAGTGGAAACACTGGCAGGTATCAGATCCATCAAGGATGATAAATTGAGGATATCTAATTCCCAGATACAGCCAGTCAACGGTGAGGCTCCACACTGTAGAAAAATCCTTTTTTCATTTTCTCTTGGCTCATATAATACACTTGACAGATGGAGCAGCACATGGATCTCTTCTATGCAACTTGCTGAAACAAGGACATGACACAGATCATGATTTGATTTCAGACTGTGACACCTTAGCACAGCATAAGTTTGAAATGCAGTAAGATATCCGCCTTACAAAACCAACCAACACATAGCATAAACTGCTCATGATCTACACTTGTGGGGAAAAAAAAATCAATAGTTTACAGAATAGCTCTGACTAAATCCCATAATCTGGCATTGCCTTAAAATTAGCTTAATTTAAATTTTTCACAGGATGAATTCCCTCAGGTTTGAGAACAGACAACTGGTTAAACACTAAGCAATTCTATTGATTTGAGAGTGAGAATAGAGAATAGTAAAAGAGAGTAGAGAATTTGGCTCAGAAATTGAAGGGCAGGGCAGAGAGGAGAAAACCTTCTTTTCCAATTAAAAATGCATAGCTTTCACTTTCCTACACTCCAGGTGTTCCCTGAAGGTAATGGGTTTTTTTACTTATTAACAATGTGGGTGGATTTTAACACAAAAGCATAAATTCAGTCAGATAGAAAGGGTGGTTCATTTGCTTGTTTTCACTGTCCAAAACAGATAAACTTTTATATTTTATAAAATGTCTGGGGCTTTTTTTTCCACTCAACTTCCCAAGCATGAGTTAACTAACTCTTACAACATCTAAGCTAAATACAATCTCCATTCACCTGACAGAGAAATCACCACAGGAAGGAGGACTGGAAATACACTGGACCAAGTGGTATTGGAAATAAGAAAGCCTTCCTTTTAATTCTGAGTTAATACAGTAATTAGTACTAGGAGGATGTGAAATGCTGCATAGAAACTTGCTTGCACTCGGTATTGGTAAACCTGAAACAGCTTATGTCTGTCAATTTTTTAGGCTTATAGCCCAGAGGAAAGTTCACTTTAGTGCAGAAAAGATTTTAAACTACTTGGGAACACAGGTTTCACCCCAGTACAACAAGAACTGAGGGAAAGAGAAGTAAAAGAGTATAGACCTAACATCTGTTAATAACTGTAGGTCCCAATTATGAGAAAGACTGAGTCATCTCGTGTATTTACCTCCTTTCTGATCTTTGTCTGGTTCTTTGGACACCACGACTAAATGGTAGCGCATAAACAGTAACAGACTTCAGAAGATCTGAACCTCTGTTGTGAATTTGTTTTTCCTTTTTCTTTTGACTAAATTTAGAGTATAACATTTACTTTTTTATCTAAGAACACCACACAGAGTAGTCTAAATTTCCAGATTTGGACCTTTTATTTAGACAGCTTTGCAGAAGTGTGGACTTGAATACAAAGCTAGAGGTGCAGAATAACTTGAAACCCAGGGAAAACTCTTGCATAACTCTAACATAGTTTGTTCAGTTATTTTAGGAGAAAATAATGTTCATCATTTTAGGAGAACAAAAGAAAAAAAAAGGATCTTTTTCACATGTAAAATTTGTGCAATTATTTTCGCACTCAATGATTTGAAAGTAATTCTTCAAGATACCTACCAGCGTTAGAGCTATAAACGTCAGGCTATCAGCTGTTTTGTTTATGTAACTGTGTGCCTGTAAATTATTTAGGTAGCCTACAGAGGCATCTGAAAAGGGTAAGATCTCTGATTGACACTTCCTTCTGTTTTCAATGCAAGGTGACGTGCACGAACAACAAAAAAAAAATCTACTGTTTCTGTCTGTGCATGAACAATTCTTGGAAATGCTTATGGAGTGGGATTTTCAAGAGCACTTGAAAGCTGACCTGATCCAATATTGGCTCAATGGGGATTTCATTATTGATATAAATAAAACCACAGCGTTTTTTGGAAGTCCTTGCTCTATGCAGCATCAGGCATTCACCTTCCAGTGACCTCCTCATATATACAAGTCACATACTCAGATAAAATGGCTTTTGGATACGGAGAGGTCTGTTTTGTAAAAGGCCAAACCATGCAGCGTGACCAAATGACACACTAAAGGACATCATTTCCAGGCATTTCCATGCTCATTGCAATTTTCAGTACAAAGTCCAGGCCTTTAAAGCTAGTCAGCCCATGATCTGCAGGATCAAAATCCACACTTGAAGAGCCCTCACAGAACAAAGAAATACCCCTCTGCATAAGGGAAACATCAAGCAGTCAGAGCTGCAGCTACAATACCTTTTTTCACTGTCAGTGCAGCACACTGTTATCAGCTGCTCGACCTCTACAGCTCAAGAGGCAACAATCAACTCATGAGTCCGCAGGAGTCCTGCCAGACTACTCCAAAACAGCGTCTTCCTGAAAACTGGACATCTTCTGTAGGTTTTGCTCTGCATACTAAATGCTCTGGGTACCCAAAAGGAAACCTTGCGCTCCTGAAGAAGGGCTGTTTACTTTCAGCGCATGTAGGGATCATAAAAAAAAGTGTTTAAGCATTTTCTACAAAAATACAAGCACAGAAGAAAAAGAAATTGTGATTATGGCACTTCTGTAGGACAGCAAGATCCTGGTTGGAGACATCTGAGTAGAGACTCAAATCTGGGTCTCAGTACTCCAGATTATGCTGTTCTAATCAAAAGTGCTTTTCCTCTGCTCATTTATTTTCAGTGAATTTTCTTCCTTTCCTATCAAGATAATCACATAATAACAAAGCTTTCTGCAGAATATGTAAATGCCTTACCTTGTTCGTAAGAATTTAGTTTAAAATATATTATGCATCTGTAATTGTTCCCTTCCAATAAACAGAAAATGATGCAACTCATCTTTGCTATGGGCCCCATCTGAGCAAAACAATTCATTGAATATACAATTAGAAATCAGCAGGAACCATCCAAAAGGTACTTTAGTGTTTTATTGAACACCAGCTTATTCATAAACCCAGAGATCAATTACTGCTGGTGCTGCTTTCATAAACTCATTCTGGATTTACTCACAGTAGTTAAATCCAGTCTAAAAGAAAAAAAGAGGGGGGTTAAACTGGAAGGTGAAGACATCAAATAACACAATATATTCCAGGTGGTCTGAGTGCTAAAGGTTCACTTGCCTTGGAGGGTCCCAAATAGGATAAACATTCAGCTCAGTAGAAAGCTGATCCACTCCACAGCAGCAGGGAGCACACATACATTAATTTAAGATGCAGTTTTAATAGGCTCTTCTGAGACTTGCCAGGGATTTAAAGTGTTTCAGTGCAAGAAGCAGGCTGGTCTCCAACGGGATGAGCTGCCATCATTTCCACTAAGGCCAGTACTTCCAACTGTGGAGCAGGAGAGGGCTAAACACGCCATGGGTAATTATCTGGGATCTGGTCTGCAATCCAGGAGCTGGTCACTGGACTGCATCCCCTGGTCCTGAGCCCCGGTCAGGGCAGCACCGGTGGGTCCTGGGCAAAGCCACAGCAGAGTGGTCACAGCCAAACAAATCACCACCAGGGTAAAGGCTTGAACTTCTGCTCTGCCCTGCACAGCTTAACCCACACAGACACAGCTGGAGTATTTTCACAGTCCTGCAGAGACCTCAAAATGGTGAGAAAAATCCTGAATCTGGTGGTGCCTCTCTCTCCTGATTGTTGAGAACCTACCCAACCATTTTCAATTAGCAACACTTTTTTCTTTTCTTTTTTTCCTTTTAGTAACAGCTGAAAAGACAGAGTGTGATTCATTTTAAAGTATATGCATTAAGCTGAAGAGGCTGAATACACTAGGGCTCAACCTGCTGTAATAAAAACTGATGAAAATGAATAACCAGGGAGGAATGAGTAGCTGTTTAAGTTCTCATTGCTGCCAAAGAAATATCAGCTAGGGAGGACAGGTTAAGCCTCCTGTCAGGCATTTGCATTACACTTAGGAAAACGAGTTTGCTAATATTTAACAAAGAGATCACTAAGTCTTTTACTAATTGTTCTGTTAAAAAACTACAGAAAGTCAAATATATGATAGATTCCAAGAGACAAAATATGGGAATTCAGGGAAACAGATGTTATTTTACAACAACCACTTTGAAAAATGCATCCTTTGTCCATCCTCCTTCTCTTCTCCAGTGATGGAATTACCAACACCTAAATGAAGTATTATTCCATTTGGAGCTAAGTGTTGTTGGATTTACCAACACCTTAGAAGAAAAAGTGGTTCAAATGACAAAGTGTATTAGCTACCTTATGGTTGATTTTTTAAAATCCCAGTTCTATCCCCAAGGTGAATGGTCATCAGGAAGAATAGAGCAGAGATCCTTTAGGAAAATGTCTTGGGGCAAAATACAAGTCCAGATGATTTCAGAAGGAAATCTGATGGAACCACATGACAATAGGAGAAAGTCCCATTAGGGAGGTCACAGCACACCAGGACAGTCACAGCCCTAAGAACATCTCTCAAACAGCCATGGAGATGGGGAATAGGCATTTCTGGACAATGATTTTTGCTTTCTTGGAAGTATCAGCAAATGGAAACTCCACCATACCATTTCATTAAAAACACAGCGACTAAAGCTAATAGCTGGTTAGTCCATTTGATGTATGTGTTTAGGTAGAGTGGCAGGAGAGAAGGGAAAGACAGATTCTTCATCATCATTCTTTGTTCCACTGTATTTACTCTTCTGTTTAATCAGTTTCACCTCCTCATTGCATTTTGCTTTGCTGCCATCCTGCAGAAAAGCATCAATAAGTCCCAGGGAGTCCCTTTTTCACAGACACTGCCAGAAGAAAATGTCCTACAGTTGCTAAGCACTGAGGATCTTCATAAAGAACTGATACACTCCAATTTCTTACACCACTAATTTAATCCTCCTTTTTTTTCTGTCAGCATCCAACTCTTCAAGAACTGCCTGTCCTTCATATAACCTGGATTTCTTCCAATACTTACTAAACCATCAAGCTGAAGAAGTCAGAGCAGGTAGCAAATGGTGAGACAGTATTCACCTCCTCCAATATCCTAACTTCTAGATCAAAAGTTTCCTCACTCTTTATTAATTACAGGCAAGGGTGAGCCAGATCTTAAGCTAGTTTTCTTGAAGATATATAAAGGAAGGGTTTTACGTAACTACCACAGTCCAGGACATGGAGTTTAAAAAAGCAGATGCTTTACTTAGTTTCAGCTCTCACAGAGGTGCTAACTTAGCAGTGTATCTCACAACATCACTTTGAGGAAACTAACAAAACTACAAAGGTAGTCAAGTCAAAAAAACAGCTAATATTTCTATATTCTATAAAACTTAAGCTGTAACAAAGGCTTAGTCCTATGTCTTTAGTAGCTGGTTCACCCCAAACTTGGTCCCTTCAGCAAAAATACAATGTTCATGAATAGGAATCCTTAGCACTGTAGCAAGGTTTGTGCCAAAATCATAGATTTTTTATTCTCATGAACACATGCACATTTTCTCTATGATTTTAGTTTGCTGGTTTCTGTTTGCTTGTCTGTTTCAGAAGGAGCTCCAAAGGCTTCATAATCAACAAGAAGGAAAAGTTTTACATAGTTTTGTTGCAAGTTCAAAAACTGATCTTGATTTACTCAAAAACATACACAGCCCCAAAAAGATTGTATCTAGAGAGATTTCAGTACCAATTATCTTCGATGTACAGCTCTTATAAAGGTACTTAATTTATTCTACTCATAAATGTGAGGCAATGCTTCCTATGCAGGTGGAGCAAAGATTCTAGCACTTCTGTCTCTTGTCAGCTCTATGATAAAATCAATATGTAGGAACATTAGCAAATCACTTGGCCGGTCTGAACTAGTTTTTATTGAAGATGAATCGTAGTAGCTTTCAACCTGGCAAAGATTTGTGCAGCTTTAGCTATATTATCAGAGAAATTCGGGGACTGACAGTGGAAACAGAGACACTAGAGTAAGGAATTTCACTAACAAAGTAAACATTAAGATTCCAATTTACTTCAAAGAAATAAGCAATAAGATTTGATTAAGGACACTGCCATCAATGGACTGGAATCAATTGATAGGTAAATACTGGATGGATACAATCACTCGCACCAAAGTTTGCCATGACTGTGAGGTGTTGATTCCTCATGGTTCACACTTAACAGTTATCCTCCTGTATTTGCTTGTGCCCGTCCTTAAGCAGAAGCATGGTCCTATTTCATGGCGTGACCTCCCTCTTGAAGGTGGCCACATCTTTATGCTCCTGCATGCAATGCCATATTTCACATCTATGATCCCACACATGGACTGCCCCTAGATTTAGGCAAGACAAGCCTCACACTGGGCATGGATGGAGCATATTTACTTCAGCATTTCTGTCAGGTAGTAGCCACTCACGTTCACAGCTGCTTGGTTTTGTCTTTTTGGCTGCTCTTGCCACAAAAAGACTTGCAGTGCTCTCCTGCATCCCTTTTTACTTGCTGGGCAAAAGACTGATTGCTGGCCAGTGTTTCCATGGACCAACAAGTCAGCCAGCTAAAACAGATTTTGCTCTCTCAATAGGGGCATTTATTTATCTTATTTCCTCAACTTCCAGTTTCCTGGAAGTTATAGAAAAATATATACCCCTGAATGCTTTACTTCCTCATCAAAGGTGGTTGCCTTTGTAAGATGCAGTTATATTCACTATACATACATGTGAATAGAGCCAGAATTATCAATTTCTCCAACAGCAGTCACACATCACACACAGCCTGGGTCTCTCCTGTTCCCATAATTTCTAGGAAGCTATCTCCTTGCAAACATCAGGACTGCAGACAGGGAATCACAAAGACCACAGGCTACAGATTCAGTCTTACAGAATTGGGGAATACATCATCTTCAGATATCCAGGACACTGGTTCATCATGAACAAGCCAGATATTATGAAACACTGGACAGAATTTTTCTACAAAAATGCATGTTTTTCCCTTGTTCTTCTAATCCAATTATTTTCTCAAGACATGGAAAAAAGGATTATCAAAGGGCTGGAGAATTGGCAGAGAGTTTCAGAACTGAATTCCTAAGTATTGATAAAAATACCAAAAAATGACCAGCAAAGAGGCAGTTCCCCCCTACTCTACTCCTTTCCTGTCACCTCTGAGGAATGTTGGCATCCTGTTGAAGTGCCATTTAAGCACACCATATTTCAACTGTTGTTCTCACAGATAATCTCATCTATAAAGCAATAAAAAGTGCAAAATTTGATGTGTACAATAAAAACCATACAGGCACCTCTTCTTCTCCAAGAAAGGCAGCTCAGTAAAATTCTGCCATAACAAGCAGTAAGGAAAATAATTTACTTTCAAATCCTTCTTCACCAAGTACCCACATCAAAGATAAAATAAACATAATGAAAGGGAATGAATTATCAAGTGATGTTTCATCAGTGCGTTGACTGTACTTTTAACAAAAATATGGACAAAGATAACATGGGCTATAAAGGTACATTCAGATTTTATCAGAACAATATCTAGAACACTATTTAATCCAAATCTCCACGTTACCCTTTAGCATTGCCCTGTAATCCTATGAAACAGCTTTATGCTTGGAATATCCATATTCCAATTTTATTATGGAACATAGCTTTAAAAAGCAAAGCATGATTTTTCCCCCCCAGTCTCCTATATCGATAGTCGAATAATTCATATTTAAAGAAGAGCCATGGATTTTGCCTTTTTTCTTTTTTAATTATTTCTATATAACTTGCAGCTGGTAGTCTACAAGGAGAGACATTATCAACATATGACAGGACATATGCCCCAAAATACTGGCACTTTGGAGCTAAAACAGCACAGTAAGTTGTTGGGGAAACCTGATGAAATTTGTTGTTTCAACACCTTGACTAGATTTTCAGCTACTAACGATGGAGGGATAATAAAGAGAACACTGATCTGGATTTTTTAAGTTAATGGCGAGTTAACACCTTGCAGCTGAAATTGCACCATGGACTGAGCTGGTATTCTCTTCTTGTCCTACAGGGCTAAACAAAAGCAAACAAACAAAAAGATTTCTCATTTACATGGCGATCACAGGACCATCTGCTGCCCAAGTAACAACCCAAAATAAAACAGTCCTTCAGGCGCTGTGCAGGCTGGAGCAGTGTGTGTGCAATGCGCACACTGACATAATTCACCCACTGCGAGGACAGAGGCTGACTTATGTAAGGGCAGGCCATCCTCTTTTTTCCTTTTTTCTTGCTGGCTATGCAGCTTTTCAGTGCTCCCAAAGGCTGTTTTATTTTTCAGACTCTCTTTAACCAGAGACAATCTTGCGCGAAAAGTACAAGTCTTTAAGGCTAACGTAACAATCCGAGCAGAAGAGCGAGTCACACACAGAGAAACGATTTTCAAAGCTTCGACTCATTTTAAATGACACTTACATTCATTTCTGCAATTTTCCTGCTTTAAGCAAATGAAGAACCTCATTCTGCATTCCACTGAACCCCTCAAATCCCCTGTCAATAAACATCTGGGGTGCAAATGAATACAGAATTAATCCCTAAGGCTGGACAGTAAAACAGGTCAGGAACCATCCCTGCTACAAAAGTCAGTGTGGAAATCTTGCAGCAGGTCATCTGAAACCAGGCTGCACTTCACTACTGGTTTTGAAACACGTTTTATTTTCAGACCAATTTGCCTTATCCAGCTCTTGCCCACAGTACAGCATTAGTACAGCTGTAAGTGCAATGAACTAAACTGTCCCGATAAAACCTACAACAGGTAGGTTTGTCCGTGCCCACTAGCAGGGCATTCCTAGGACATTCTTCTCACTAGATTCTTAGCACTTGCACTCTCCCAAGAGTCTTCAGAGGAGCTGGTGGTCCTCAGCTCTTGGGGCTTTTAAGCCTTTCCTTTTCCTTCCATTGGGAAAACAAAAAAAAAGAAAAAAAAAAGAAAAAAAGGACAAAAAAGGGAAAAGAAACAAAGAAAGTAAACAACACACACATTCTCTCCTACACACACACACACACACACACACACACACACACACACACACACAAACAGAGGGGGGAAAAAAGGAAAAAGGTAAGTTAAACAGGGTGCTGATCTGGAATGAAATGGATTTTTGAACAGACAGTCATATTTGGCACTGTCAGCAAAAGCTTGTGAGTGGCGCTGTGTCTCCCCGAGCCTTAATGCCCTTTTCACGTCATTTAAAAACGTCCCCGGAAAGTTCAGCTGTGCTACTTCTGACATTGTTTTCACACTGCTGCTGAATGGACTCGATGGAAAGACACACTTCATCCCATCCCAGTTCCACAAAGCACTAAACATTAAGGATGTATTCCATTTGGCCTTCAAGTAACATTTTTATGGTCCATGCAGATCCACAATTACTTTCCCTTTAAAAACAATCAACATAAACCAGAACTCCCTGTTGGAGAGCATGGAAATTAAAAACTATTGGATCTTCCAAACCGACTTCTACAATCCTCAGGCAGAAGGCTGGATTAAAGGGTCCCCACATGGTTCTAGCTGCATTCTCAGTACACCACTTTTATGAAGAAACCAAAGCTGTAGAAATTCCTCTGGCATGGCGTGGAATCCAGAATCAGGCAAGACATTGTCATAGTAATGATGGCTAATAAACCTCCCGTGCAGGTCCACCGAGAACGGCCAGAAGCCATAAATTGTTACTTCTTCACACAGACCAAGGGCGGCACTGACTAGGAAGAGTCCCGTGGAAAGCCGTTTGCCATGGATACCTTTGCTCTTCCAGAACTTGCCAATGTCACGCAGGAAATTGGGGTTGGCAAAAAGAACCGTCTGCTTGGCACCGAAGTCCGCCAGGGTGTAATAGACACGTAGGGAGGGTCCTGTCCCTGTCTTCATGGAGAAGGCTGGCATGTAGATGTAGCTGTGGTTATACACCTTCACGCTGTCCACAAATGCCTTTCGAGACCACAGCAGATTCTGGAACCTGTAAAACCACAGGGAAAAAGGAGTTGGTCATACATAGGTTTCCCTAATCGTCCCATAACCCACCTAAGAACTGCTCTTCATCTGCATATTTACAATTAACCGCACACTTTTTCCGAGCCCAGAGAAAGTCCAGGCAAGCTTCTGACTGTCTGACACTGCCCTACTTCTGAGAACAGAAACCTGAATAGACAGCTGGAAACTATCTAACTCCTGCTGGTTCCAAAACCTTTCTGATTTCATCTTTTTAAAAAACTTTGAATGAACACTGGAAATATTCTAAAAAACTCGATCCTTTTTAGCGACATTTTTCCTTTGTCCAAAAACCAACTTAGATTTTCAAGCGCAGGAATTTTTTTAAAAGAAATTTTAAAGTCTGTGTTGTTCTTGCTTCTAAAAGACATACTAACAAAGAACCCAAGTTATAAGCTGGACAAGCAACATTTAAATAGAAACTTTGGACTTACAAACCTTGTAAGACTTGTCAGAATTGCTTTTGCTATGCCTGTATAGAGATTTAGATTGTGCTACCATAGCAGTAAATTCTTGTTCTGGAACTGAGAGAAATGTCATAGAACATACTTAGTTACAAACAATAAAACATATCAGTGAATTAGGGTAAGTGGCAGGCACCATGAAAATTTACCACAAGACACCAAATAATATTCTGAGCTGGTGTTTAAGATGGCACAATTTACACACTGAATAGGTTTAAAAGTATGTGGTATTTGTAGCATGCAAGTTACAGGAGAGACTTGTTGACAACCATGACAAGGGCAATGAATATGCACAGATTATTTCTCTGATATGATAATCATGTCATCTCTTGTTATAAAATCTACAGCAGGTTACAATTTGTTAAATTGCCAATAACTATTTGCTGATGTCTATTTTATCCCTGATATGTTAGACTTCTATACTATTCCACAATCAGTATCCTGTCAAGACTATAGCCTTTCCTTGCCACATGCTTCTGGATATGCCAAGATTGAACGAGAAATACTGCAGGAAATCCTAGGCCATTCACACATACCAAAACCTGCACCAATGTTTGAGCTGTTCTGATGTCTTATACCAAACAAATCACATTTCAGAAAAATGCTGAAGTATCCCAAATATGTATCACTGAATGCAGCTGGTAGAGAGGTCGGAGTTATGGTAAAATGCAATACTTAAAGCACAAAATTTCTAAGTAACAGGAACACTTGCTGTTTGGGGTGTTGGGTACCTTTGCATGAGAAAGTCACTATGATACACTCTTGATACTCCACTTGCTTTCCAGAGTCCACACAGTCTTAAGAGCACCAGTACCCCACCTTTACCATTTGACAGTGTCTGTAGCCTTCAGCATGCAGGCAAAGCTTACTGTACTGAAAGCCACTTCTGCACGAGCCTCACACATTCCTTCCATTGCAGCTAGGCTGTTCCCCAGCATGTGATCCCTAGTTCTTTTCTCAGCTTCCAAATGCCCATCTTGCTGTTGTTGCTGCCCCCTCTCTCTATTTCCTGCAGCTAAGGCAAATGTGTCATGATTGATTTCTCACAGCACAGGAGTCAGAACAAAAAAGTTAAGTCAGCAGCACTGGATTTCTTTTCCTTTCTCTAGTATAGGCAGAGAGATAGGTATAAGAATACCTTTTTAAACTGTTATGAAGGTATCAATTTTATGTATAGACCTCTTTGAAACAAAAGGAAGAATTGCACACACAGCAACATACACAGGTTTCAGTAGAATGCCAGATGACCTCAAGAAGCATCAAACAAAATTTCATCTGAAACAATTGCCAACAAGAAACTCAACAGCTTCAACAGCATTGATATGACTCATGAATACATGCCAGGTTTTTTGAAGTCTTTGTTTTGGCAAGAAAACTTGAAATATTCTTAGTAAGTAGAAAGTCAACATTTTCAACATACAGTATTTGGTCTCCTGGTTTGCCACAAGTTTCTTGCAAAATTTCCTTCACATGGGATTAGAACGAAGCTGTGTTGAAGGAACCTCCCCTGAAATCTGCCTGGGCCTTCACTGCCTTTTTGGTCTGCAGATCTGCTCCTACTGCATGGTGCTACTTGCTAACGTAGACAAAGCCACTGGCTTCCAAGTGAGAAATCAAATCAACACAAATGTACAAAACAAAACAATAATTTCATAACTTATTGCATTTGGCATTCTTTTCTGTAGAAACAGCCAAGACACAGCTGAGTATAGAAGGCCAGCCAAGACCAAGGTGCCCTGGCAGACATTCACTGTCTGGCTGTACCTTCTCACATGGGCCCTCTCACTCCATTACTATCAGATCTACAACTAAGTGTTCCCCAAAATAAGCTCTACCATCCTCTTCCCAACAAGCAGCAAGACAACCTGACAGATTATGAGGACAGGACTTGGATCCATCCTATCAAGCTTCTTCCATTTCCATCAGGACACAGTCACTGAGTGCAAAAAAAATAAAATAAAATTCCCAAGCTCAATACTTTCAATATTCATAAAATCACAGAATGGTTTGGGTTGGAAGGGACATTAAAGATCACCTAGTTCCAATCTCCCTGCCATGGGCAGGGACACCTTCCACTAGACCAGGTTGCTCAATGCCCCATCCAACTTGACCTTGATGAGCACTTTGTGCTCAGAGCCCCAGTACCCAAATATTGTTCTAATAACCCTAATCACTTTTAAAAGGTAATAAGACCAATATCAGGCTTTCAGACTACTGACCTCACCAGAATTTGGTGAGAGGTGGGCATTGCAGGCTCAAAATTCCTTTCACAGTAAAGAGATCTTGAACTCACAGCTTGATGCAATGGGGTCCTTGCACCTTGGCTAAGGAGAAGGCAGAGACAGGTTCACTGTCACTCCTGAAGTCAGTGGCATGACATCCTTTCCCTCTTATAGCTAGGCCACAAGTTTCACTCCAGAGGGCAAATAGTTGTGGTTATTCTAAAACTGCATTTTCCAGCAAATTTACCATTCATAGAAAAGCAGTGCGCAGCTCTGAGTTGAACACATTAAAATTGCTCACTCTCAGAGGGCCAGAGACTCTCTCTGAATATTCATTTGCTATCATTGCCACAACATGTTTACAATTCTTCTAGATGAATCTCCCCAAATGCCTTAAAGTAATGAGAGGTGAACAGCACTGCCATGAGAGTGGTGCATGGGAGGGACTCCACGCAGAAGGGACAGCATTTGTCATGCTACTGCAAACTGTCCTTCAGGAACATCATCACCTCCTGGAAACCCATGCCTCATTCAAATGATCTGGATGGCAGTGTTGGTAGGCATCCCGCCCAGTTCAACAGATGGACATTATACAGGTGGCCAGGAGCCCGCGCAGAAACATAAAACATGATGATTATGGCTGGTCTGATGGTCTAACAGCCAAAAAGCTGCTGCCCATCTTGCATTCCTCGTGAGCGGAGATATTAGAAGCAAATGAAAATTTCTGTTCCCCATTTGTAAAAACAGGAGCACTCTCCAGCTTTCTGACACTTCCCGGGCTGGTTAGAGGCTGAGAAATCTGGGGACAAATGCTGTGTGTAGGTAAGTTTCTAGAGATGGTGCTGGAAGCTCAAGTGTATTTTCCTGTAACTCCCAATCCAGACAGGGAGTCCTGCAGGCAACTCCATCCAGCAGTGGCTTTGAGGGTACCATACCACATCTACCCCAGCAGACAGTGAGCAGGCTACTCCATGCCTGACAGAGAGACCAGGAGGGCTCTTCACCTGCAGCTGACCAGCTCTGTAGTGCATGTTTGAGCAAGATGATATGTTTTTCTCCTGCTTGTCCCGGCATGAACCAGAACAAGCAATGAATCCACTAGCCTGATGCAGTCCTTGCATCCACATGGATGCACAAATGCCCTCCCTTGTGTCGATCCTCACCCAGAACGAGGAGCTGCTGGTTCCTAGTTAGTGCATGTCTCTACCCGACAAGCTGTGAACATTCAGTACTCTCAGGGCACAGCCCAGCAGCTGCGCAGCTCCTCCACACACACACACACAGAGCTCAAAAGAAATGCACCAAATACTCCAGCCCCTCCTAGAAGAGTGCATCTCGGGCAATGCTGTCAGCACAGCTCTGAGTAAGAAACAGCTGAATGGCTTTCAGGGTCCTCCCCTGACCTTCCGCAGTCAAGCTCGCACAAACACATGGCAGGTTGCCAGCATTTTGACAAAACTGGAGCTGGAATGTCCCAAGCCCTGAGCAGCACCTGAAGACTCCAAGGACTGCACAAGTTGCTCAGTGATTTGCAGTAATGAGTCCCGGCAGCTTGACGGCAGCCCAGAGAGGCACCGACAACTGTGAACACTGGGGAATCACGACAGGTTCAGCCCAGGCACTTTCTTTACACTGCACTCATCAGTGGACAGTGAACAAGTAAAACCATCAGCAACACATTTTTGCTGTCAGGTCCATATGAAAGATCAACTTAAAACCCACAACTTTCAACAGCATGTGTAGGCGCAGCTGTGCAGATATCAGAGAAATAATTTCCCTGCTACCAGCTGTAGAGTTCCGTCGAATACGCTGCTCTACTTTTCCAGGGAGAAAAATTCATCCAAGAGAAAACTGCCGCAGTACATTGTCGTGACAGTACAATCAAAGATTAAGAGCATTAAGTGTTTTGGGTTTTGTTTTTAATCTGTTTTTAATGTCCTTATTGATGTTCTTTAGCAGATATTCAGGGACAGGACTGCTCTCTGGTACTGAGAGACCACTTCCAGTAACCACACAGAATTTGCTGCAGTGACATTGAGCTAACCCACTTGCAGATAATTATGGCAGCATTTTCTTGCATCTTGGTTTCTTTTTGATCTCCCCAGAGAGTCACTATCTCATGCCTATGACGATATCCCAGGCACTTACTGTGTTGGCATCTGCAAAGTCACAAATTCAGCATTCTGGATTAATTGTGAGTTGACTTATCCGAGGGAAAAAATAAAATTAAGTAATGAGGGGAACAGCTCAGATGCCAAATAAAATGTGTATTATTTTAAAAT